TTGTCTCCCTTTCAAAGCCAATATCCCGACCCCAGATGGGTTAATACATAATGCAGACAAGCAAGTAATTGCCTGCCTTTGTGAGGCCGTCAGCGCTGGGTCCCCGGCCCTCTGATCCCCCATTAGCGGCCATGCAAACAAGCCTTCCACCCAATTAAGCCCAGCTTTGATAGAGCCTTTCCCAATGATGTGGCGGTCCCAAACTAGCGATTCGCACATGAGCCACTACCTGTTAAACCCGGAGCCGGCTTCCTTCGGGGATGAGCATCCCTCGCCTCTCGCCGTGACCCAGCTGCCGAGCTCTGCCCGGCTTCCCCTGGCCCTGAAGGGAGGCTCGGCTGATAAATGATCTCGACAAACTCTATATTAAAGAGGTGGAAATGGGATGTTAATATACCCCAAGCCGCTCATCTCGAGAATACACGGGCTCCAGCTTCCCGAAGATGCCGGTAATGAGGCGGGCTGGGATGCCCGCGAGGAGACCTCGACCCACTGGCCTCCTGCGCCTGCCAGGTGTGGACAGACAGCCTGACACCCGTCCTCTGAGGCATCCTCACACCGTCCCGCAGAGCCCTCCCGGGTCATCCCCTAAAGCATCTCAATCTGCTCACCGAAAGCATCCCTGCAGCATCCCCTAAAGCATGCCAGTGTGCTTCCTTGGAATATCCCAGCTTTATCACTTAGCACACCCTGGCATCACCCTCTAAAGCACCTCAGTGCATTCCCCTAAATCTTTCCAGTGTCATCCTCTAAATCACCCCAATAAGCTCTCCTAAAGCATCCCAGCATCATCCCCTAAAAAACCCTGGCATCATCCCCTAGAACATCCTGGCATCATCCGCTACAGCCTCCCAATGTCATCCCCTAAATCATGCCAGTGTGTTCCCCTGAAAGAGCATTATTCCTCTGCACACCCTGGCATTGTCCCCTAAAGCATCTCACTGTCTTCCTCTAAAGCATTCCAGTGCACTCCCCCAAAACTTCCCAGGGTCATTCCCCTGAAGGATCCAATGACATCCCTTACAGCATCCCAGTACCGTTCCCTACAGCATCCCGGTGTTCTCCACTGTAGTGTCTCACTGTCATTCTCTAATACATCCAGACATTCCTCCATGTATCCCAGACTCATCCCCTAAAGCATCCCAGTGACATTCCCTAAAGCAACTCAGTTTGCTCCCCTAAAGCATCCCAGCATCATCCCCTAAAATGTCCCCATACGGTCACCCCAAATATCCCAGCATATCTCCTTCATTCATCCCACCATCATCTCCTAAAGCATTCCAGTATGCTCCCTGAAAAACTCCCAGCACCATCCTGTAAAGCATGCCAGCATCATCCCCCCTATGGCATCTCAGTCATTCCCTACAGCATCCCAGTGCTATCCCTTAATGCATCCCAGTGCCATTCCCTGCAGCATCCCAATGTCATCCCTTAATGCATCCCAGTGTCGTTAACTACACCATACCAGTATCATTCCATAGAGCATCCCAGTGCCATTCCCTACAGCATCCCAGTGCCATTCCCTACAGCATCCCAGTGCCATTCCCTACACCATCCCAGTGCCATTCCCTACACCATCCTGCTGTCATCCCCTAGGTCATTTCAGGGGCGTCACCTACACCATTTTAGTATCATTTCCTAAAGGATCCCAGTGCCATTCCCTACAGCATTCCAGTATCATCTCCTACAGCATCCCAGCATCATTCCCTACACCATCCCAGCATCATCCCCTAAAGGATTACAGTGCCATTCCCTACACCATCCCAGCATCATCCCCTAAAGGAT